CCCAGGAGTTTGAGGTTGCTGTGAGCTAGGCTGATGCCACAACACTCTAGCCCAGGTGACAGAGCAAGACTCCGTCTCAAAAAAAAAAAAATGAAACCCTGAGTTAGACCTAGGTTTGAATCTTGACGTCACCAACCACTCCTTAGCTGTGTGATCTGGAATAAGTTGCTTCACCCCTCTGAGCTGACCTTTTACTCTTCTCTGCCTTGGGGTTCATCATCTCCCTCTTGGGCTTGTGGTAGGCATTAATAACCAACGACATATGAACAGTGCCAGCCCCAGGTGGCTCAGCTCCTTGCTGTCTCGGCTGCCCCTGCTGGTGTTCTGGGTGTGGATAGAAAATTGATGGCCATTGTTTATTTGCTGGCATGTGGTCCTGCTTGGATTAGACTATAATCACTTTAGTAAAAGGCCCCTCCTCACCTAATGGTTTTGGAATAGACCCATTGCCTTAATTCAGAAATGATGGTTTGCTTGTATACTCTTAGAAGAGGAGGGTTCATTTCTGCATTTTACAAAGTCATCGCCACCTTGGGGTTTGCAGAACTCTCCCTTTCCACTGTCTCAGCTGATCCTCCCGAAGGCCCAGGGAGGAGGTCTTACCAGCCTCCCTCTGTGCAGACCAGGAATCTGGCACTCCCGGCTGCTCACCGAAGCTGCACACAGCCCAGCCAGCCAGAGCTGGAGGAGCTAGAGTGAGTGCCGTGGCGTCAGCCTAGCTCACAGCAACCTCAAACTCCTGGGCTCAAGCAATCCTCCTGCCTCAGCCTCCCAAGTAGCTGGGACTACAGGCATGCGCCACCATGCCCGGCTGGTTTTCTTTTTTCTTTTTTTGTATATATATTTTTAGTTGGCCAATTAATTTCTTTCTATTTTTAGTAGAGATGGGTCTCGCTCTTGCTCAGGCTGGTTTCAAACTCCTGACCTTGAGCCATCCTCCCGCCTCAGCCTCCCAGAGTGCTAGGATTACAGGCGTGAGCCACCACACCGGCCCGCTTTCCTTCTTGAAATGCCCTTGTCCCAGGTGCCTCCTCTAACTTTTATCCTCTCTGTGCAGGCGTGCCCTCTCTCTAGCCACATCTCTGCAGCGGTGCTTTCACCCCAGAGAGGACACCGCAGATCCAGCCAGGGTCTTCTGTGCGGGTCCGTGGCCCAGGTGTCTCCCACACCCTTTGCCCTTGCCAGGGTACCTGATCTGCCTTTGGAATTTATACAGGGAAAACCATTCAGGGACCTGTTTTTCAAATGCAGGCCCCCGAGGGAGGGAAAAGCGCCTTGCGTTAGTTATCTCCCTGACTAGAACCTGCTGGGGATTAGGTGACCAGAGCTGGCTTCCTGGCTTGTGTCCCATGCACTGCACAGGGCTTTGTGCTCAGAAGGGCCCCTGCTTGGGTGAGTGCTCTGCTGTCACTGCTCTCTTGCAGTTCTTAATCATTTAAAACTTTTTCATTTCGCACTGGGCCCAGCAAATTAGGTAGCTGGGCTGGGCCGGGTGCTGTGGCATAGGCCTGTAGTCTCAGCTACTCAGGAGGCTGAGGCAGGAGGATCAGGAATCTCAAATTCCTGATCCTGTAGTGAGCTGTGAAAATGACTATAAAATAGCCACTGCAGCATAGCATGGGCAGCATAGCAAGATCCAGTGCTTAAAAAAAATTAGATCGCCTATCCTGAGTGGGACATACAGTCGATGATGATTTCTACTGGCCATAGAAGGGAAATGAATTCATTGCCATGGGGCCCGCCTGCCATCTTCCCTAGGGAGTGTGGCCGGCTTTTTCTAGGCTCAGTGCCTGGGCCACTGCAGCCCTGAGGCTCCTCCTCCTTTTCCAGAGCAGCTCCCGTGCTCCTGTGTGCAGTGTGGGTGCTGCCGTCGCTTTTCCAGGAAACTTCCTTCCTAGTCTTGCAGCTTCTGAGGCTAAAAGTGGATTTTCTTGCTCCCAGAACAGGTCACTGAGCTGAAAAGGAAAATTTCATCACTAAATATTTCTTGAATTAATAAGTTCTAAGCTGAAATACTTCAGAGCACCCTGCCTCTCACTCATTTCTTCATTTAACAAACATCTGTTGATCTTTTGCTTTTATCTTTATGCAAAATAATACATCTAAACTACAAAGGAAAAGGTGATAAGAAATGGAGCATTCTTTATATTGGTGAAGAAGAAAACTTGTACATTAATTTCCCCCAACATTTTATTGTGAAAATTATCAATAAAATAGAAAAGTTGGAATCACTGTACCATATAGCCACCACCTAGATTATACATTAACATTTTGCTTTTTTTGCCTTATCATCTATTCATTTTCCATACCCTTAGCCAACTCTCCATCCACCTTATTTTTTAATTCATTTCAAAGTAAATTGCAGACATTAGTAGATGTCACCCTTAAAAACTTATGCTACAGGAATTTACTTCAGTGATATCAATTTAATCATGACTTTTCTTTTTTAAACAAAAAGGAAAGATATAGATTTTTAAATAAAAACAAATTATTATAATTATTATATAAATAATATATACACAATTTTTAAAAATGATGTATCTCCCCTTCTGTGTGCCAGGCAATGAGGAAAGAGAGAAAAGAGACACCTCTGGAGACTGGGAGGCCGGGACTGCCTTGAGAACGCCTGCCCATGGGAGTGTTTTAGGGACTGCTTCCCGCTTCCTCCCAACCAAAACAACAGGAAATAAAAGTCCCAGAGAGGATACTTCTTGGTCTCTTTCTTCCCTCCAGAGGAGCCCGTGGACATTCCGCAGGGCCTGGCCTTGGTCAGCGCTGCCGGTGAGGCTGCAAGGCGCTGGCTGCTGGGCAGGAGAGCTGTGGGCTGCGGGCTGTCCCCGCAGAGGTGGTGGCAGAGGTGGGGGGCGTGAGTGATAGGGCGCCTGGGCAGGAGAGCTGTGGGCTGCGGGCTGTCCCCGCAGAGGTGGTGGCAGAGGTGGGGGGGGGCGAGTGATAGGGCGCCTGGGCAGGAGAGCTGTGGGCTGCAGGCTGTCCCCGCAGAGGTGGTGGCAGAGGTGCCGAGGCGAGTGATAGGGCGCCTGGGCAGGAGAGCTGTGGGCTGCGGGCTGTCCCCGCAGAGGTGGTGGCAGAGGTGGGGGGGCGAGTGATAGGGCACCTGGGCAGGAGAGCTGTGGGCTGCAGGCTGTCCCCGCAGAGGTGGTGGCAGAGGTGCGGGGCCGAGTGATAGGGCCTGGGGCGAGACGCTGTGGGCTGCGGGCTGTCCCGGCAGAGGTGGGGGGGCGAGTGATAGGGCGCCTGGGCAGGAGAGCTGTGGGCTGCGGGCTGTCCTCGCAGAGGTGGTGGCAGAGGTGGGGGGGCGAGTGATAGGGCACCTGGGCAGGAGAGCTGTGGGCTGCGGTCTGTCCCCGCAGAGGTGGTGGCAGAGGTGCGGGGATTGAGTGATAGGGCGCCTGGGCAGGTGGCATGAAGTGACAGGAGCACCATGCAGGACTTCGGGTCATAAGGTGAGAAAGTGATGCTGTCAAGGCAGGCAGAGGGGCATAATTAGAAAAGCCAGAGGCTGTCTCTGACTGGCATTCAGAGTGGAGGAGAACATGGAATAACACCTCAAGGGAGGCTCTAAAAAGGAGACCTGGGAAAGTGTTTAGAGATCTCCTCCCCCACCCTACACATTCGACACAGGAGAAAACAGAAGCTGAGAGGTCACTCAGAAAATAAGTGGCGGAGCTGGGCCAAATCAGTGCTGCCCAAATGGTGCTTTCCCATAAAGAAACTCAGAAGTTTCCTTCTACCAGGATCAAATGTCTTGGGGGCTTGATTTTTAGCTAAAAGAAAAAATTATGTGAATTTAGCTTTCTATTCAAGAACTTATCTGGCTTTATCTTTATGTAAAACATTTGTTTTTGCTAAAGTATCTCGAACGTTACACTCTCTATTAGTGTTTCTCAGTCTTCTTTAAACTCATACCACCTTTTGTTGAATATAAAAATCTAACAACCCCTTCAAGAAGTTTCAATACCTACTTCCACCTCCCACGTGAGTGTCACCAAAAACAGAGGGTACAATGTGTTTTAGTAGAGCATTACTAGCAAAGATTTTGTTACATATTACTTGGCATAGTTTATGTAATGGAAAACTATTGTTTGTTTTTCAACTAGAAAAGTGAAATAATATATATGCTTTTTCAAATGACATACCCCCCTCTCATTTGAGCATTACCCCTCTAAGAAGATACTTAGAGGGGTACCATGCTTTATGCACCTCTGTGACACCCCCGTTACCTACCCCCACCCCCATATCAGTTAGGGATGCTTGTAGCTGCAAGTAAAAACTCCCATGACAGTGAAATAAGGAAAAAAACCATTTAATTATTTCCCATAATAACAAGTCTAGAAGAAGAAGATTCCAGGGGGGGTCAGCGACTTAGTGATAACAGGGCTTTTCATTGGCATCTTCTTGGCATTCCCTGATGGCCCCCAGATGGCTACCACGGCCTCAAACATCACTTCCTCACTTCCTGTCAGAAAGAAGGGGACAAATGAGAAACCATGCTTTTCCTTGTTTTGCTCATTCATCAGAGAGGAAGAACTTTCCTAGAACCCCACCTCCGTGCTGTTAGACTTCCCCACCCAGTCCTTTAGCCACAGAGGTGTCTCATGGCCATTGGCAGAGAGGGACCACATTAACATATTGAGTAGACCAATCAGGGTGCAGCCTACCTTTCCAGAACACGTGCTGATTCTTTATTTACCTTGGTTTTTGCCCAGCGCCCTCACAAGAATGTAAGCTCCATGAGGGCAGAGATTTTTGTCTATTCTGTTCACTCCTGTATCTCCAGCAATTAGAACAGTGCCAAGAATTCAATAAATAGTCATTGAATGAATAAATGAATGAGGAAGAAGAAGACATGTCTGCTGAGTAGGTAACCAATGGTGTCTATCACCCCAACAGCATACAACCCTAGTTCGATAAATATGATGCTGCTAAACGACTACTGATCACCAAATCTCTGACCTTAGTCCTTATATCTTTTCTCCCAGGAAGCGAGCCCTAACTGGAGGCTGCTCTTGAGCCAATGCCCCATCTCAATTCCTCCTGCGTCTTAGAAGACAACATGTGTGAGGGGAACAAGACCGCTGTGGCCAGGCCCCAACTGATGCCCCTGGTGGTGGTCCTGAGCACCGTCTCCTTGGTCACAGTGGGCCTCAACCTGCTGGTGCTGTATGCCGTCCGGATCGAGCGGAAGCTACACACTGTGGGGAACCTGTACATCGTCAGCCTCTCGGTGGCAGACCTCATCGTGGGTGCTGTCGTCATGCCCATGAACATCCTCTACCTACTCAGGTCCAGGTGGTCCCTGGGCCGGCCGCTCTGCCTCTTTTGGCTTTCCATGGACTACGTGGCCAGCACAGCGTCCATTTTCAGCGTCTTTATCTTATGCATTGATCGCTACCGCTCTGTCCAGCAGCCCCTCAGGTACCTGAAGTATCGTACCAAGACCCGAGCATCAGCCACCATCCTGGGGGCCTGGTTCCTCTCCTTTCTGTGGGTTATTCCCATTCTAGGCTGGCATCACTTCATGTCGAAGATTGCGAAGCGCCGAGAGGACAAGTGCGAGACAGACTTCTACGATGTCACCTGGTTCAAGGTCATGACTGCCATCATCAACTTCTACCTGCCCACCGTGCTCATGCTCTGGTTCTATGTCAAGATCTACAAGGCTGTCCGGCGGCATTGTCAGCACCGGGAGCTCATCAATGGATCCCTCCCTTCCTTCTCAGAAACTAAGCTGAGGCCAGAGAATCCCAAGGTGGGTGCCAAGAAACCAGGGAAGGCATCTCCCTGGGAGGTTCTGAAAAGAAAGCCGGAAGATGCTGGTGGTGGACCTGTCTTGAAGCCACCATCCCAAGACCCCAAAGAGATGAAATCTCCAGTTGCCTTCAGCCGGGATGAGGATGGAGGAGTGGCCAAACTCCACTGCTTCCCACTTGACATCGTGCAGATGCAGACTGTGGCAGAGGAGAGTGTCAAGGACTACGTGGCTGTCAGCGAGAGCCAGAGCCAGCTCCAGATGGAGGCGCAGGGCCTGAACATGCATCGGGCCAGCGAGATATCAGGGGATCAGGTGTTAGCTGATAGCCAGTCCTTCTCCCGGACAGACTCAGACAACCCCCCAGAGCCAGCACCCAGCAAAGGCAAATTGAAAAGTGGATCTAACACAGGGCTGGATTACATCAAGTTCACTTGGAAGAGGCTCCGCTCACATTCGAGACAGTGTGTGTCTGGGTTGCACATCAATCGGGAACGGAAGGCGGCCAGACAATTGGGTTTTATCATGGCAGCCTTCATCCTTTGCTGGATTCCTTACTTCATCTTCTTCATGGTCATTGCCTTCTGTGAGAACTGCTGCAATGAGCATGTGCACATGTTCACCATCTGGCTGGGCTATATCAACTCCACACTGAACCCCCTCATCTACCCCTTGTGCAATGAGAACTTCAAGAAGACGTTCAAGAAAATTCTGCACATTCGCTCCTAAGGGAGGCTCTAAGGGGGTGCAACAAAGTGATGCTTATGATGTCCAACGAGCAGACGGAGGACGAAGGCCTGCGTGTTGGCAGGCACCTGGGCTTTCTAGAGTCAAAACCACAGTCTTAGCGGCTGGGTAGTTTGCAAAGTTCTTTGGCACCACTGGAAGAACAGTAGATGGTGGTGCTCAGCAGAGAGACTGAACTTTGAATAAAAAGCAGAATCTTTGCAAGAGAATCAGACTTGGGTGGAGCTCTCCTTCCCCTCAGGAACTCATTGTAATTCAAGCTTTCAGACTCAAATTAGTTGGCAACAGAAGGGACATGTGGGTAGACTTCCACTGGAGAATTAAACAGAACTCTCGAGCCTTGCTGGGATGGAGCTATGTGACTGTTTGGGGACCTTACACACGCAGATAGTTTCTGTCTTGTTCCAGGGGTCACCTTGAGAGGCATGACTGCTATTCCGCTGTGGCTGCCCCTTCTCAGAACATCTCTCTTCTAAGCCTCTTTTGCAGCTTTCTCCGGAACCGGTGTCTGAGCTGCTCTGGAAGTCTGCCTTGTTATTTCTGACTCGCGCATGTCTTGGAGCTGATAGAGAGTCATGCAGCTTGCGCATTTTTAACCTCACATTTCCTTTGGCTATTTAAAATATGGTGGCAAAAGGTGTTCTCAAAAGAAAGAGAAAAGAAATATTTTTTAAAGCTTGTGTGTTAAAAACTAAAAGAGGGCCGGGCATGGTGGCTCACGCCTGTAATCCTAGCAGTTTGGGAGGATGAGGCGGGACACTCGCTTGAGCCCAGGAGTTGGAGGCTGCAGTGAGCTATGATTGTGCCACTGTACTCCAGCCTGGATGAGAGAGATCTCCTGTCTCAAAAAACAAAAACAACATAAAAAGGAAAGACAGAAAAACTAAAAGAAGGAATAGGGAGAAGAGTGCCATATTTTTTAAGGGCTGTACTAGCTTTATCCCATTTAAGCCCCACAACATCCCACAACAGAAGGGTGGTGTTGCTAACTCTACTTTGCAGAGGATCAAATTCTGGTGCAGCAAGGTGGAAGAGGTGCCCAAGGTCAAGTGGCTAGTTATGTGGAGAAAGTTAGACTGAAAACCCTATGGAGTTCCAGCTCATTGTAGCACATTTTCCTTGAATGTGCTAAAATGTACCCTGTTAAGTGTGCATATAAATGTGTGAGACACACACATGTATAATATTCCCAAGAGTGGTGGCAATTCTCAATATTACTATGTTGAGTGGGGGAACAGCTGACATGAAATACTTCTGCATGGACAGAGGTAATGCTTTGAAGGGACAGTGTATATTTTTATTTGTGAGTTTGGTTGTTTGTCAAAAAGTCATCATGTTCTTTTGTGGTCCCATCTGTTAAGTAAAAACTAGTGAAGGCATAGGAACATACAGTTTTACTTGGGTGTTTATGTTGCAGTCTGGTTGTGATTGATATTTTAAAACTTGATGCTAAACCATAATACCATGTAGCAAGTTGGAGTGCCTGTACACGCTGGTATTTTGTGTCTTGTGTTCTTTTTTGCATGATCTGTTAAAATGAGGTATTTTTACCTACCTAAAACATGATGTTTGAAAGCATACTGTTATGTGATTTATTTATTTCTACCTGTCTAAGTCTCTTGAATTGAGAAGATGTATTGAAATGTACTATCAAATGTTACAAAATTTGAAATAGGGTTTCTCTTTGGGTTCTGGTCACATTTGTAAATGTTTTTTTAGAGGGACTTACTTTTTATAAAAAGCTTCATTCTCATTCTGCTTTGCATTCCCAAAAGTTCTTCTTGCTCAAAACTAGAAGACTTTTATCCCGGTTTCAGAAGCTGCAGCTGGTCTGTTTCTAGACCATTGTCCAGACCTCCTCGAGAGGCCTGTGAGAGAGTTGCTTCCCGGGGTCTCTTGGGACCAACAAACACATAAAAGGACCACTCCACGCAGACAAATGGTTAAGTGCCCATTATTTATCTTGATGAACAATTGAGGCAACTAGTGGAGAGAAGTGATTCTGAGCTCTGATTTGGGGTCAAAGAGACCTGGATTTGAGTCTGATAAGAAAATGAAATGGCCAATAAATATAAATTGTCAAAGTCTAAGGACCAAGGCCCATGCATTATTGTATACGGTGTCTATGGTGCTTGTATAGTGTCTGTACACAGAGGCCACTCATATGCATTTTTTAATAAATAAAAGTTTTATTGGAGAAAAATAGAACTACTACGTACACAGGGAAAACAGCACAAAAATTCAATTGATACAGAAGAACATTTGAAAGTCACAATTGTCCAATGTAGTTTGTAATTACTCTTCAATTTCTTAAACAGCTCCCCTCAACTTGTTTTTTAACAGTCTTGCTAGTTTTTCAGCTGAAACAGCATAGGTTTTCAAAAAATTAAGAGCCTCAGGGAGGGGACCCACTTTTTAGAAACATGCTGAGCATATACATATGCCAGGCTTTGTGCTTTGCCTCTGTTATCTACGTTGTTATCTACCTTGTAACCTTCACAACAACCCTAGGAGGGAGATTTCCTTGTTTTTACAAACAGGAAAACTGAAGCACAGAGAGGTTAAGAACTGCTCCAGATTCTGATTCTAGAATGTGCTTCCTTTCCACTGTATCACCTGCTCTTCCTCCTCCTGTCTGAATGATTGATATTAATTTTTGAATTTATAAAAGGCAATGACTATGGTGCAGAGATGAGTCAGCCCCAGCCCATTAGGAAAGTATCAGTGGCAGATGGCTTGCACAAAATCCAGATGAAGCCAGGCTTTCTGCCCTAAATACTAAAATAAATACCTCCTAGGAGAAGGCTGCCATAACGACCTTGACTGTGCATAAGAACCTTGCAGATAAGAAGCTCCTTCAGAAGTCTTTTCGTGGGTTTAAGGCTGATTAGCTTCCAGTCAATTCTTCAAATGACCAATTTGCCAAATTTTCCAATTTACTAATCCTTGTTTCTTTGTAACTATTTACCAAGTTTACACCAATTTATATTGGATGAGGTTTTTAAGAACTGTCTCCTACAGTTGTTGTGAAGTTATAGTAACTAATTTCTTTTTTCTTCACAGCAGCATCTTTAGGAATGTTCAATTTGTCTTAGCCTCCATCTCTCTGCCGCTGCAGGGAGAGTCAGGAGTCAGGCGGGGGAGGGTACTGAAGACACAGAGAGAGGAGAAATAGAGGTGAAGAGACAGAGAGTGGCAGAGGGCAAGAACAGGGGGCAGAAATACGGGAGAATAGGGAGAGGGAGAGGAGACAGAGTCCCAGAGAAGAGGGACTAAGGGATAGAGGTGGGGGCAGTGACAGGAAGAAGGAAGAAAGGGATGTGCAGAAGAAGAGGACACTGAAGGGCAGAGATTGGGAGAGATTAAGGGCAGAGAGATGGAGACATTGGTGGGGGGACAAAGGGAAAAACTGAGGCAAGGGGAGACAGAAGGGAAGCAGAGAATGGGGGACAGAAAGAATAAACTGAGTGGCACATATTAATATGCTTAAGAAAAATCTACATTCAGGAACATATTCTTCACTAATGTATTCCTAAATTAAATACATTGAAAGGCAGAATAAACCATCCTTAGCTTTTGATAAATAGAAAACTCCTTAAAATGCTTCTCTGAAGACAAAATGGAAACCAGTCACAGCATCACATAAATCTTTAAAAGCACGTGAAGCCATTCCATTCAATACAAATTGCTATCAACTTTATACATTGGGAATGTTAGCAAAATGTCCATTCAGAAAATCTATGAGTCTGTAAATTGGCCATTTGATGCATCATCAGTCATTTGGCTACTTGGCTTGCAGAAAATTGTTTCTCTTTGGAAGATGGGCACTGCGTGGACTTCCAGGAGATGGATTTATTAGTCTTAACTCAGTGTGAAAAAGACGCAGGGGCTCTTGTGGCTGTTAGACACTCTAAGTGCTAGAAAGAAACAATGCTGTTAAAATCTAATTTGCTGATATCTGTCATTTCACAATTTCTTGGGCTTTCTAAGCCAAGGTTGGTGTGGTATATGGCTCTCTTTGTTGGGAGCATGTACTCTCTTCAATTGAACTGCAAGGCAAGTGATGAAGGTGGGTTGATCTGAATCACTGTGGCCCTGAATAAGTGTCATAGGGCCTCATTGCCCTGCTATGTCTGAGAATGTTTTGTGCCTTTCTATAGCTCCTTGCCCTGCATCTTTCGTAATGCTTCATGGTCTTGGAGCCCCAGTGATCTGCCTGCCTCATCTAAGGCAGCAGATGGTTTTCTGCTGTGAGCTTCGCCCTAACTCCCTGTTAACAAGGAAGCCTCATTTGTGGCCTGAGTAACCATCAGCTCTGGTCCCCACATCTATTTTGGATGCTCAGATCTCATCTGTTAATTTAACAAATACTTTGTAAGCACTTCTTTGGCAATTAGGAGACAACACCTGGCCCAAGACAGCCTGACATGATTTCAACCCCGTGGAGTTACTTCAGGGTTACAAGTGATGGAAACTAACTTTGTGAATGGTAACTAGAGAGTCTTTGTCTTCTTTGTGCTACTATAACAGAATACCACAGCCTGGGTAATTTACAATGAACAAAAATGTATTGGCTTACAGTTCTGGAGGCTGGGAAGCCCAATGTCAAGGTATTGGCATATGCATCACAACATGGCCGAAGGTATCATGTGGAGGAAAAGCAAAGACAGGGTGAGAGAGAGCAAGAGGGAGTGAATTCACTTCTGTGATAAAGAACCGATTCCTTTTATTTTTGAGACAGAGTCTCACTCTGTTGCCCGGGCTAGAGTGCCTAGCATCAGCCTAGCTCACAGCAACCTCAAACTCCTGGGCTCAAGCGATCCTCCTGCCTCAGCCTTCCTAGTAGCTGGGACTACAGGCATGCACCACCATGCCTGGCTAATTTTTTCTATATATTTTTAGTTGGCCAATTAATTTCTTCCTATTTTTAGTAGAGACGGGTCTCACTCAGGCTGGTTTCGAACTCCTGACCTTGAGCAATCCTCCCGCCTCGACCTCCCAGAATGCTAGGATTACAGGCATGAGCCACCACGCCCGGCAAGAACCCATTCTTGATAACATTAGCTTATTCATGAGGGTGGAGTCCCCACGACCTAAACACTTCTTAAAGATCCCACCTCCCAATGGCAATTACATTTCAACATGAGTTTTGGATGGGGCAAACATTTAAACCACAGTGTGGGGGTGCTTTACGGAATCTAGTGATTCTTTGAATTACCTTGCTTTGGGAAGGGCTTGAGCCAAGTCAGCCACAGGCACCCCAACAATAAGAATTTAAGGAAATTCCCTCTATAATATTGTCATTGACCTATGTAAATATTCCTATTTCTACTCACTATGAACATTAGTTAATTTTTTTTTCTTTTTTCTCTTTTTTTTGAGACTTGCTCTGTTGCCCAGGCTAGAGTGCCGTGGCATTGGCCTAGCTCACAACAACCTCAAACTCCTGGGCTCAAGCGATCCTCCTGCCTCAGCCTCCTGAGTAGCTGGGACTACAGATGTGCGCCACCATGCCTGGCTAATTTTTTCTATTTTTAGTAGAGATGGGGTCTCACTCTTGCTCAGGCTGGTCTCAAACTCCTGAGCTCAAGCAATCCTCCCACCTTGGCCTCCCAGAGTGTTAGGATTACAGGCATGAGCCATCGTGCCCGGCCTGTGAACATCAGTTCAAAAGTCTGAAACTCACAGTAAAGAATCATCCTGTGTCCACTTTACTCCAATCAACTCTGGAGGGGTTGGGAGGCTGGAGCGGCACAGGTGGTACAATCATGGCTAGAGGATCAATGGTTCCCAGAGAAGCAGGAATCATTGTGAACTGAGAAGAAACTCCAAGGGTGTACTCGTAACACCTCAAAGTCCAGCAGGAGAAGCAAGCTTATAAAGAACTAACTTCAACCCAGGCTCCCATATGCTCAGTAAAGCCTAGAGGTGGATGGTATCAGGCATGCCTTCATATGGGAGGTGACATATCGAAGTTTATCACACTCAACACATACCAAAAAATGCACCCATTTAAAATGTGGAGCTTGATGAGTTCAACAATTGTGCACACCTGTGTCATCCCTGCCTCAATCAAGCTGCAGAACATTTTCATCAGTCCAGAAAGCTCCTCATGCCCCTTTGCAATGCCCGCCTCTTTGCCCCAGGCAACCAGTGATCTGACTTCTATCACTATAGATTAGTTTTGCTGGGTTGAGAATTTTGTATCAGTAGAATCATTTAATATGTACCTTTTTTTCCATCAACATTTTGTCTAAGATTCACCCACATTTCAACTGGGTTGTGAAGACTGAGAAAGGGTCACACGAGCAGAAGTGTGAGGGCATTGCAGAGATGGAGATATAAATAGCAGAGTGTGCTTAGAAAACCAGAATCTGTTTAGTGTGACCCAAGCATGCAGTCTGAGAGGGCGGTGGCAGGGGAGGAGCCTAATATAGTTGAAAGAATTGGCAATGCTGAATTTCACTGCAGCCCTGTGCTCTTGGAAAACAATGATGGGTAAGAAATCCTTCTTAAACTTTTTGTGCTTCAGAAACTGTTTACTACAAAGAAACGTCCCTTCCCATGTAACATAAGACACAGGGATGCCTCTCTTGTCCACCTGTGGCAAGGCCTATCCTATTCCTTGCCTCATAAATGATTAGCTGAGTTACTTGTCTCCATTGACCAATTGAAAAAAATGCTTGTTAATAAAACTTTGGTGGAGCTTCTTTCCTTTCCCCAGGCTGACCTGTCCTCAGCCTGAGCCAGCATACAACCCCTCCTGAGAACAGGCTGGCCTCAAGATAAAACATTCTCTGATCTATCCAATCAAGCCACTTTTTCATCCCACATCCCTGTATCCAATTCTTCCTAGCCTTGCTTCCTCTTCCCTATGTAGGAAAGAAACCCTCCTTTTGCCTAACCCTTGAGACACCTGTGGATTTTTTTGTCAGACTAATCACCCTATGGTCCCTTTTGTCAGACATAGTCCCTCTTCTCCTCCTCTCCCGTTCTTGCAGTAATCCTTTTTAATAAAGTATCCTTCCTAAATCTGGATTTGTTTTCTTATTTGACAGAATCAGACTTCGATTATAATCCTGGTCCAAAAGCCCTTTAACTTTCCGCAAGCCACTTAACTTTTCCTAGTTTCTGTTCTTTCATATGTAAACTGGGGATGACTTGCAGGACCTTTGTGACGATTAGAGATGTGAAACCCTGAAAACAGGGTAGATAATAAATAGTAGTCATTGCTTGTGTTATTATCAATCTATAGAACTACATCAGAGTCACTTTGTGAAAGGCCTTACTGGATAGATTGAGAAGTTTATCATATTCACTGCTGTATCTTCAACTCCCGTCCAGTGCTTCGCTCATGGTCAACAAATAATTTAGAAGGAGTGACTTTATCGCACTGACAGAGGGGAGCCATGAGGAAAATGGCTGGTTTCGGAAGGGCGGTTTGGTCGTTGTCGACTTCACTGGCCCCTTCCTGTTACAGTTCTCATCTTGTGCCTCTCCTCGCCTGTCTCCCCGTGGCTCCTGTACTGTCTTGGATGCCGCCTCTCCTGGAAGCTGGCAATAATAACCCCTGCCATCCTCTGAAGGCCAAAGAGAGAACGTGGGATACGGCTTAAAAAGCCTGTTTAACATGCCCCACCTCCTGACGCCCCGCCTTTCCCGAGACTCAAGTTCCTCCCACTTAGCCCGGTGCTAGGGGCGCATTTCCCTGGGCTCGGCCCGGCACTAATGCGCACGCGTGCCGCTCAGCCCTGGCGGGCGGGGCGGGGGCGGGGCCGCTGTGCGTCATCGGGGCGCGCACTGCAGACGGCGTTTTGGTTGCCGGAAGTTGAGTGGTGGTAAGTGAGCGGCCGCAAGGGAGCCGCGGCTGGCGAAGGTGCCGTGGGGTCTTGCGCGGTGGGTTTTGGACGTCTGGAGACAAGGGGCGAGCTCTGCGGCGAGGGCGAGGGTCACAGCAGGTCTCAGGATCCTCCCCGCCTGCCTCTGGGCGGTCCTCCCTCCTCCAGGGCGTCGCTGACTCCGGCTGTCGCCCTTCTCTCCAGCCGCGTCCCCTCAGTCTGGCTCAGTGCGGGGTCTTCTGACAAGGAAGCTCGTGCTAATTTCCTAAGTCAGCCCCACCTGCCCGCGTGGTGGGTAGTGCTCGGGATCTCCAGTGTTGGAACACGGGAGATAGGACATCTGGGTTCTCATCGTGGCTTTTCCCGGATTTGCTGTGTGGATCTGGCACGTTCCTCCCTGTTCTGAGTTGCTGTTCCCTTATCTGTAAAATGGGAATGATATTCTGTCATTTGTTAAGAGAGGTGGTTAAAGTAAGTTAAGTTTAAGGGCTTTTCTGAGGTAAGGATCTTGATTCCTTGGTTTGGTTGAAGGGTTACAAAGTAAGGCACGGTAAGAATCAGGTAAGGTAAATGTAGATGTAAAAAAATTTCTTTGTCAGAAAGAGTCAAACTTTTGTTTTTACCGAATTGACTTTTATAAGCACACTACTAACATATATGATAAGGGAGAAGTGAAACCAAAACTCCAGTGTGTGTGTGCACGCCCACGCAGTCTCCTGAGTTTTAAACACTGGCGACCAATACAATTTTTTTTAAATTGGCAAATAATTCCGTTTTTTAAATTCTGGCAACTAATTCAGTTCTTTTCAACCCTGTTCAGCTATAACCAGGCATATTTGTGGCTGCCAATTTGAGACCTCTGGGTTCCAGGCTCCCTTTCCCATTGATTATTTGGAGTTTTTCTATGACACCTCTGCCCATGGGCCAAATTTCTTCAGTGACAGAAAGCTCACTGTCCCTCCTTTAGACTTTTGGGATCACCCTGCCATTTGATTGCCCTGTACATTTTTGAAAGCTAGTAGTTTGTCTTGCCTTTTCCCACCTTTTCTTCTCTAGGCTAAGCATATTTATTTACTCATAGTAGGCTCCACAACAACAGAATTTTGTCTTGTTTTATTTGTTATATTTCCAACATATAGAACAATACGTAGCATATTATATATGCTCGATCAATATTTGTTGAATGAGTGAATAAAACAAATATTTGCCTGTTAAGTACCAGGCATTATTGTAGGCACTAGTGATGTAACAGTAAAATAAGACAAAAAAGAATCCTGTTTCATTATACCTATTTTTTGATGGATAGATATGAGATTTTTAAGGGTTAGTAGGTGTTTCAGATCCTGATAGGTGCTACAAAAAGAAACAGGGCCATAGGATGGAGAGTAACTGGGGGAAAGCATAAAAGCTCACTGGACAAGGGTGACTTCTCTGAAGAGGTGGAGTTGAGCTAACAGCTGAATGAAGAAAAAGCCAGTCTTGTGAAGGCTCACCTTGCCAAACTGTTCTCCCATCCACAAACTCTGCTCCAGTCTTGTTAAATTGCTTGCAGGTGTGTCTCACCTAGAGGCCTTTGCTCCTGCTCCCTAGAACACCTCCCCTTCCCCTTCTGTTTTTCTTGACTAACTCCTCCCTGCCCTCATGTGACATTATTTTGAAATCTTTTAAGGAACTGAGTACTGGACTCTCTGTTATTCAACCACAGGATCCCTTTTCTGTTTCCAGTCAGCTTCTCATCATAGAGAATAAATGTAATGCGTGTCTGGCACTGCACTTCAAGCTGGGAGTACAAAAGTAAGATACACATCCCTGTTTTCAAGGAGCTTACTATTTTTTTTTTTTTTGGAGACAGGGTCACTCTATTTTGCCCAAGCTAGATAGTGCAGTGGCGTCATCATAGCTCACTGCAACCTCAAGCTCCTGGATTCATACTATCCTCTTGCCTCAGCCTCCTGAGCAGCTGAGACTATAGATGTATGCCACCATGCCCAGCTAGTTTTTCTTTTCTTTCTTTTTTTTTTTTGTAGAGATGTGTTTCACTATTGCCCAGGCTGGTCTCAAATTCCTGGGCTCAAGCGATTCTCCCACCTTGGGGGAGAATCGCTTTTTTTTTTTTTTTTTTTTGTTAGTCGAAGAGACAGACAACATTATGGTATGAAACTATTGTAAACATTTGGTAGAGAGGTTCTCATAAGTGAGGCTGATGCATCAGAGAAGGCGTCTATGAGGAGGCGCAGTTTTATCCAACTCCTCAGTGATAAGCAGGATTAGCCAAGGGAAGCGGGGTGGGAGGTGGGATGAGCAAAGGTCTGTGGGTGAGAATGCGTAGTGCCCACAGTCCACCATAGTTGCAGTGTAGAGTTGTGGGATGCGAGGTGACTGGACAGGTAATTGGGAGCCACATCCCGAAGGGCCTTGTGGGAATAGCATGTTAAGAGCATATATACTTTGGGATCTAAGATACCTGTATACCAATAATAGCTTTACCATTAAACTAGTTTTGTGACCTTGGGCAAGTCACATCCTTTATAAGCTTCAGTTTTCTCATCTATAAAAAGGGGAGATATAAATTGAATGATGTGCTGTGTTACTCACTTGGCACTGGTAGATGATAAACACTTAACAGTAGCAGTTAATAATGCCAGGCCAAGCAGTTTGGATTCTAAAATATGGGGGTGGAGAGCAGGGCACTGAAGAATTTTAAACATGGATGTGACATGCTCTCGTTTGTTTGCAATTACCTGGGCAGCAGTGTGTGATTACAATGGACAAGAGCAGCAGGGGACCATTCAGGGCACTTTTTTTGTTTTCTTTTGAGACAAGGTCTTGCTCTGACACCCAGGCTAGAGTGCAGTGGCATTATCATAGCTCACTGCAACCTCAAACTCCTGGGCTCACGTGATCCTTCTGCCTCAGCCTCCTGAGTAGCTGGGACTACAGGTGTGTGCCACCATGCGTGGCTGATTTTTCTATTATTTGTAGAGATGGGGTCCCGCTCTTGCTCAGACTGGTGTTGAGCTCCAGACCTCAAGTGATCCTTACACCTCGACCTCTCAGATTGCTAGGATTACAGGCATGAGCCACTGTGCTCAGCCTGGGCACTGTTGCAGTGATCTGTCCAGTGCTCTGTAGAATCCACCTTTATTCTTGTCTTTGAAAATCAAATATTTTAAAAAACTGAAATCAGGTGTTTGCTTGGCTCAATCATTCAGTACCTCTCCAATTTCTTAGGAATCTTTAAAGATCACCAGAGTTGAAAACCACAGAGAATCTGTTATTTAGAAGCAAGCCTTCATAAGTCAGTCAGCTTTTAGGGAACTATCCCAGATTTTAGTTCTTAGTTGACATAACAGCTGCATAGTGATTCAGATGAATCCAGATGACTGTCCCTCATGTATAGAATGGACTAAGGTGACACTGCTGATTGGCGAAGGTAACAGAAGAACTCAAAAGTAGGCACACTGCCCTCCATCTTCCTGTTATTGCTTCCTCCCCTCTTTCCCACATTTTCTCAGCTGTCACTATCCCTCCCTCGTAGGTTTGTCATTCCCCATAATGCTGATATCCAGTGCATCCATTATCAAAAACTGAGGCTAGAGGAGACCAGATTGTATGCAAAGGTTAAGGATGTTATAGCAGAAGGAAAGCAAGAGACAAACAGCTTCTGGAAGTAATGAATGAGAATGACGGTTACAGTTTGAAGACTATGGCCGTGACTCCCTGTTCCCTTATCAACCTACTGAAGAGCAAAGAATGTCAATTCTTTAGGGGTAGAGGTGGCTCAGATGGAGGTGAGGGAGACAGATTGCCTGTCATAGCAATTCCTATCTGCTAGTATGATCAGCTGTCATCACAAAAATCATTTGACAGCAGACTCACAAAAACCCATTTTGTGTGACTTGGTGTCTCATGTAGATGTTAGGTTGGCTCAGAGGCATCTTGACTGTAATGCAATTTTTAAAAGGAAGTAAAGCTCCTATACCCAGCTGGTTCCCCTGTAGGAGTTCTGAGTTTTCATCTTCTGGTAAAGCCTACTCTTTCTTCTAAGTTTAGAATTTTTTTCTTCTTCATTTGGAAGAAAAGTTGTTTTTTTTTTATATCAGCGTATTATGGGGGTACAAATGTTAAGGTTATGTATATTGCCCTTGCCTCCCCTCCCCCCTCAAGTCAGAGCTTCAAGCGTGTCCATCCCCAATATGGTGCACATTATGTATGTATATACCCATCCCCTCCTCCCCCCTCCCACCTGCCTGACACCCGATAAATGTTTTTTGGTTTTTTTTAACATTTTGGTTACATTTTATATCTTTGCCTCTCCCTAGCAAGGGTTAGAGGTATGCCCTTCCCCTCCACAATGCTCACCACATCCCTCAGATGTGGGTCTACCCCCCCAACCCCCGAATACCTGGTGAACACCACCACCATTTGAGCCCCATAGTGTTAATCAGTCAGTACCAATTGATGGCTAGTACATGTAGAGCCCATTTTTCTGATCTTGTGTCACCTCACTTTGGATAATGGGCTTAAGCTTAATCCAGGATAATATAAGCGGTGCTAGCTTGCTGTCATTTCTTAGAATTGAGTAATATTCCATTGTAAACATATACCAAATTTTAATAATCCACTTATGAATTGATGGACACTTGGGTTGTTTCCACATCCTTGCAATAGTGAATTGTGCTGCCATAAACATTCGGGTGCAGATGTTTTTATAATAGAATGTCTTATGCTCTTTTGGGTAGATGCCTAATAATGCTATTGCTGGGTCGAATGATATTTCTATTTTTAGCTCTTTGAGATATCTCCAAATTCTTTTCCACAAAGGTTGCACTAATTTGCAGTCTCACCGGCAGTATAAGAGTGTTCCTGTCTCTCCACATCCTTGCTAGCATTTGTTGTTTTGGGATTTCTTGAAACAGGCCAATCTCACTGGGGTTAGGTGATATCTCATTGTGGTTTTGATTTGCATTTCTCTAATGATTAGAGGTGTTGAACATTTT